AAGTTAAAGACCTGAAAAAACATTTCATTATTAAATAATTATGTACACATAGTAATATAAGAAATGATCAATTAAATGTTCTGAAATATATCAAATAATGCTGGATAAAATCATGTTTTTGATAAATTACATTAAATGATATATGTTTGCTACAAAATATGTTTCTAGTACTCAAGATGTTCTTTTGACAGAAAATTATTACAAATTTCTATTAAAAAAGAGAGAAAAAAACTGAATAATTTAGAAACAAAAGGGCCATGATTGCCCTAATATTGCTCACCTGAATATAAATACTCTTTATGACAAGAAACAAGTAATATTGTAAACTATAAATGAAAGCAGATATAAAATCTAAATCTTAAACTGATATCATAAAGTTCATATTTGTATCTGAAAAAGTGCATGTGTAAAACATTACTGGTAACTATAGCTAAGGGAAAACAATAGTTACTACAGAAGTCACTTGTTTCTATACAAGATCAGTGGTTTCCTTGGAAGTTATTGAATGCCATGAAATATAATGGCAGATTCACTTGTTGCTAAGAAAAGTGAATGTTTGCTATGGATGTGACTGGTTGCTATGTGAAAAGGTCAATGTTAGCTATGTAAGTCACTGGTTTCTGTAGAAGTCAATGGTTGTTATGTAAGGCAAACACTTGTTATGGAAAGTCAATGGTTGCTAAGAGAGTCACTTATTGCTATTTCAAGTCACTGTAAAAAGCTACAAGTTGCTATGGAATTCTATGGTTGCTATGGAAATTCAGTGATTGCTATGGAAGCCAATAGTTGCTATGGAAAGTCAATGGTTGCAAATTGAAGTCACTGGTTGCTATGGAAAGTCAATGGTTGCTATGGCAAGTCCCAGTTGCTATGGAAGTCAATGGTAGCTATGAAAAGTCAATGCTTGCTATGGAAGTCAATGGTTGCTATGCAAGTAAATGGTTGTTATGGAAAGTCAATGGTGGCTATGCAAGTCAATTTTTGCTATGATAGTCACTGGTCGCAATGGAAGTCAATGGTTGCTATAGAAATTCTCTGGTCGCTATGAAGGTCAATGCTTGCAATGGAAGTTGTTGGTTGTTATGGAAGGTCAGTAGCTGCTATGGAAGTCAATGTTTGCTAAGGAATTTTCTTGTTGCTTTGGAAGTCATTGCTTGCCATGGAAGTCAATGGTTGCTAAGAAAAGTCACTAGTTGTTATAGAAAGTTAGTGGTTGCTGTAGAAGTAAATAGTTACTATGGAAAGTCCATTGCTGCAAAATTGGTTAATGGTGTCTATGGAAGGTTAATAGTTGCTATAGAAAGTCACTGATAGCTATGGCAAGTCATTTAGCGTTAAAGAAGTCTATGGTTGCTATGGAAAGTCAATGGTTACTTTGTGAGTCACTGGTTGCTATGGGAAGTCACAGGTTGCTGTGAAAGTCCATGGTTGCTATAAAAAGGCACTGGTTGCTATGGAAAGTCATTGGTTGCTAATGAAATCACTGGTTGCTATGGATAGTCAAAGTTACCATGGAAAGGCACTGGTTGCTATGGAAAGTCACTGGTTGCTAAAGAGGTCTCTGATTGCCATAGATATTCAATGGTTCCTTTGTAAGTCACTGATTTCTATGGAAAGTCATTGGTTGTTATGAGAAGTCACTGGTTGCCATGGAAAGGCACCTATTGTTATGGAGTCACGGGTTGCTAAAGAGGTATATGGTTGTTATGGAAAGTCAATGGTTGCTATGGATGTCAGTGGTTGCTATGGAAAGTCAGTGGTTGCTATTGAAATGTATATTTGCTATGGAAAGTCAATGGTTGCTATGGTAGTTAATGGTTACTATGGAAAGTAACTGTTTGCTATGAGAAGTCACATATAAGGAAAATCTATGTTCCCCTGAGGTGGGCCCAATTTTGACTCCAAGGCTATAATTTGAAAAAAAATTTGTTGAGGTTCACCTGACTATGTTTCATGATCATCCAAAGAACATTCCTGTGAAGTTTGGATGTAACTGGCTTAGTGGTTTATAAGAAGATGCTGTTTAAGGTAAAAGTTTACAGAGGGACGCTGGACGAATTGCCAACACAAAAGCCCATCTTGTGGTGAGCTAAAAAGAGAACATGTTTTCACTTAATGAATCTACTGAGCTACTAGGCAATATTTCCATGGTTACTGATTACCTGTAACTAGAACTTCTATGAAAATTATGTATTAAGACATTGACAGGCAACAAAGCAATATGCTTACCCATGTAATACTTTAGCTTCATATGGAATGGAAATTTTGTGCACGTTATTTTTAGATCTCACTATAATTTTTCCTGACCATAATTTTGGATGTATTGCTTTTGATGCTGTAAAGTAGAAGAAATACAATGTACATAAGGCACAATTAATCTTTAAGAACAAAGACTCATAATCTTTTGTATACAATATTTTTGGGGAATTATGTTGAAATGAAACAAACTTAGAACTATCTTTTGTATACAATATTAATGGGGAATTACGTTGAAATGAAACAAACTTAGAACTATCAACTATGTTATGATTCATGCATAGTATGTCATTATCTCATGTTTCAGATACAGTACATTTTCTAAACTATTTCTTAAAGTCAACTATTTCTTAAAAAATATACTAAGGTAAAATATGTTTATTACAGACAATTATTGAAATCTTCGAAATAGTTTTTGGATATCTGTTTACCCTATTACTGTTCCTGTTAATGAGGTGCTTTCAGAAAATGACTACCAGATTTTTAATGACATACTGTGTTCATTCTGAGTTTACCTATAGTGTGTATACAGTTTAAAATGTAACATATATATTCAAGGTAGTTTATTTTACATTTAAAATGAGACTGTATAGAAATTATCAGAATTTTCAAGAATCAAATTTTAACATAATATATCTTTGAGTAAATAGATTAAATGTTTTAATTTACAGCATGACTCACCTCTAAATGTGACGTGAGCAACTGTAGTTTGTCTTAAGAGTTCCGGCTGCAGTTTTATCGGTCGAAAATCCACACTGACAGCTTCATTGGGAGGGGATAATGTTACACTCTGTATAATTTAATGATATATCATATGAATAGTGTCAAAAATGTAAATGTTTCTACATCTAATGATAGTAAAAACTTCAGAGAAAATATGTAGAAAATGCATAGTTAAAAATTAACAATAAGTTTAATATTCTGCTGCTTATAGCCATTGTCTGAATTATTACTGATCTAAACTTCAAAGTTCTAGTCATTCCTGAATCAGCGATGCATAAAACTTGCATGTAACACTGGCATAAGATGAATTATTCTGATAAGAAAGAGAACAAAATGGCAAATTTATGATTATAACGATAGAGTAAATCACATTGTTTCCTATGTATGGCTGAATTTCTTATGTTTAATACATATCATTTTTGTATATCCACACATTTAACACCTCTAGAATCCTTAGTATATGATACAAACATTGGGAATGAATCAATTTTATAGAAATACTTACAGAAATTTGAACTGGTGTATCTCCAGTATTGATTAAATTAATTGGAACAGTTTTGGGTTCATCAAATGTCCGAACTATACCAAAATCGATCAATTCTGTTGCCACGTATACACCAGGAGCTGGGAATAAATACATATACAGATACTTGTAATATCTAATCACCATATTGATCACATGTGCATTTTTAGTTCCTTTAAGCAAATTAATGTCTGAAACAGAAAATAACTGAAAATATCAAATATTTTCAAAATTTGTATTTAAGACAATATATGGCCTAATGACATGTCTTCTGAACAAATCATAATTCTTTAAATATAATAATGCTGTATGAACATAACCTTTCATGTTGTTGTCTAATAAATTGTGTATAATAATAAGATAAATCAAGACTAATGACAGTACACCATCATGCTTTCATTAAATTTAAAACTACAGTCATTACTTCTGATAAACTTATATATCATCTTTAATAGTATAATATTTTCTAGAAGATCACAAGCTTGTATAGATAATTTATGATACGTACATGATGTAACTTCAACTTCCATAGGTAAGACTACAGTATGTTGTAGATCATGTTTATCTGTTTTTATTCGTATAAAGGCAGTATGATTATTTTCTGTCCTCCCTACGAAATTTGCCTTCATTATTGTTTTTGTTTCATAGGGAGGAATCTCCTGTAAAAAAAACAATTAATAATATATCAATTTCACATACCGGTACATATAAAAATAACACATTTGTAAATTGATATTTCAAGTAAATATGGTTTTTATATTTCACTGAAAATTGAGGACTTTACATAAAATTTTCACAAGCTGGTACATTTAGTGACATACAAATTATTCATGAACTGCAATCAAATACTCTTTTTATTTAATAATTTAGATTATAGTGACTATTTTAGATTTCATCACTGAAAAAATAAAAACAGAACTTATATAGCAATACTTTTGATAAATTCCTTAAAAGTATATTAATCATTGTACACACATTGATATAAAATCAATTTGCTTACCATTCAACTTGTAAGATTTGAATTGATATCACCACAATGGAGATTAACTTTTACATGGAAATATTTGAAGAGAGCCTAGGCTATCACACAATGTATTATTTCAAAGTTAAAATGGTGTTCTATAAAGAACTGACAACATTCTGTAAGTGCCAGCTTCCTCACATGTGTGTCTACTGGACATTAATATTACGACTTACAAAATTCATTTTAAGCAACTTGTCCTCTTAAATGTTTAAATTTTGAATCTAACAGATAAACATACCCATAAAGATCTTGGAGCTTCTTTTTCCCCAGTTGGTAATTCTAAATGTAAATCACCTTCACTAGCAAACATTTCTAGTACCTGCAATATATACAGTACCCTATGTACTAAAGAATCTATACAAGACTACATTTGGAAGGTGTAATTTTGATACTAGTATATAATGAAATGATAGTCATTATGTGCTGTGCCGCCCTGCATATCTATGTCTAAAGAAAATAATGGTCAGTACTAGCAGATGTTTCATACTAGCAAACAATACATAAGTATCATCTGGCTACATAAGAGAAGTGGCCGATTTAACTTGATCGACTTTATTCTACAAAAGCTTCAATAACTTTCAGTTTGTTATATGCATCATCATAGAAATATATGTAATGAGAAACAATTACTTTCAGTTTGTATAATTGTGTTGTCATAACAAACTTGATGATCTATAAAGATAAATTTACATTTGTTTTATACCTTACAATCTTACAAACACAAATTTTGTCTAGTGTCTGGAAATATGTTCAAGCGGAATAATATATTGTCTGACAACATAAAGTATTGTCTGACCACATGCGATAAATGCAACAATGTGATAAATATTGTCTATATAAAAATATTTAAATACTAAACAATGTTTGATCTAATCTATTCAGGCAGAAAAATAATGGTAAGTCAGGTAAGGCTGTATGAGGAGAAAATTTTGAGATCAAAAGCATCTTTACTTCTTAAGTGTGTGAAGTTTCAACCCATTACCTTCAGGAATATTTGAGATACCAACTTGCTTGCAAAAACTTAGCCAAAGTGTGACCCCCCAAAAGTATCATTACATCAATCATAAGCTACCCACTTATTTTTAAGGTTCTACACTATCTTGAATACAAATAAATCTTGTAATATAAAATGATAAATGAACTTTATAATATATTTTTATCATATCTATAAATTAAGAATTAATTTTTGGACTGACTGGGAACTACAAGTTACTAAATACCTGTAAGGGTGTACTATGTGGGTTATGCATATTTATTAAAGGTGAAAAACTGCTATTGACTGGAACTCTTGCACCCAAATATGGTCGCAATCTGTATGGATTTGCCGTCCCTACTCCAAATACCTGAAACACAATGATTATAATCAGCACTATTGTAAAATAGAATTCTGTAGATAATGACAGAATAATAACAAATCATCCCCGCCTTTAACATCTTGTTATAATCATCCTTGTTTAGGTCATAACTTTACATTTTTACTTTTGTGGAGCGAAACCTCACATGCCCTTCATACATTAATTAAGATTCATTAATTGAGATTGACTTAATTAACTAGGTGTACAGGTACCTCACATAACCAGCATTGAAATCTCAAATGGGATTACCTGGGTTAACAGGTATATGAATTTACATGAGTACTTTATCATGATTAATACATGCAGTAACATCATTTACTTTTGCAAAGTATATACATGTATTTTGTTAAAACAATGAGTTAAAGCTCATCATACATACATGTATAACCCATTAACACCCTATCACAAATTAGCGAAAATAAAATTGTTGATTATCATGCATGCCAATCAGTTACATTTATCTACACTCGAGTCCTTGACAAAATTCAAAGTCAATATAAAAAAGAGCCTATATCATCAAGGGAGGCAATTTGTTTTAATTATTTATAGATATAATTAAGCATGACATGAAGCTATGGTTACAATGTTCAACAACAAGAACATCATCACAGTACTATACAATTGGGAAAAACAAGAATAGTTTATATTATGACATGTACTACTACTCTCTCTCTCTAGTCAGGAATACAAGTGTAAACATGTAAATATTTTTTTTTTTTAAAAATAGAAAATTTTTCATAAATTTCTATACATGTATATACATGTATATCTACATACCAAAAAAACTAAAAAGATTTTTTTCATAAAATTTAAAGCCATATAAGCAGTTTCTTTTTCAATTCTATGAAAGAGCTGTGTTTCTGTGTAATCTATCTTTATCATGGTAATGTCAAAGAGAAGTTAACCCCTAATCTTTTCAATAGCTTGCATAATTTTACCCTACTAAAATTTGGAACAATCAAGGACGTTTGTGAAGTAATTGAGGTTTGTTGCCTCTTTATGTAAATCGAAGTTGTAACAACCTTAAATTTCGTCGAGGATCTCAAAACGCACAATGCTTATTGTATTGTCCTATCTCTACAGAAAAAAAGAAGGAATAGATTACAAACTAAATCATATAGTAAAAGTAATGGTAATCACACCTATAAACAATGTTGAATTTTACAGTCCTTATACTACAGTACTTATAAAATTTCATACTATATCTCAAAAACTTGCCTAGCCAAAATGTCTCAACTAGAAAATACAGAGGTACCCCATAGGACTGCTATGGCACATTTTTAATGTACAATATAATATGATAACCAGCCCACTCATTTCCTGACATTTTGTAATTTCTGCCAGTCTAAATGTGATAACTTTTCACAATTGATCTAGCTAATATTAGTCAATGGAGACAATATCATCCTTGTAGTATATATGTTGACATTTACATTGTCAATTACCAAATGCTGATAAAATGCACCGAACAATAAGCATCGCAGCTTAATAAACAAAATAGGGAGCGCCTCAAAAACAAGTGCAAAATACCCTAAATATTGTAACAACATTAAATCAAACACTATCATGCAGGACTTATAATCCACTGAAGCTTATTGCCATGCCTTATGATACATTCATTCCATTTATCAACATATATCTATATATATGCACACATCTCTATGCACACGTCACCTTTATAACCTATCAGATGTCAAATATTCTGTATCATTTTCTGGACATATTTACATAATTTTTGTTTATAAAAAGTTGTAAGGCAGAAAACAAGCATATGTTACAATTATTATGTTGACATTTCTACATGCTAAATTTTACAAATCTAGTGTGACAGATGGACAGTTTGACAAAGGGCAATAGCTCTGACTTACATCATACAAAGGCTCTGTTCATTACTTCATATCATGAAAAATATCTAAAAATCAGGTCTTCTTTTTATTGTTTGTTTGTTTAATTGGGTTTTACGTCACATCGACACATTATAGGTCATATGGCAACATTCCAGCTTTACTGGTGGAGGAAGACCTCAGGTGCCCTTCCGTCCATTATTTCAGTCATGAACAGGCACCTGGGTAGAACCACTGACGTTCCGTAAGCTAGCTGGATAGCCTTTTTTTATTGCTATGAAAAACTTGTAATACTGCGAAGTATTTGTTGAGAGTATGTTGGCTGTAGATGATAACACTTAAGACAAGGTCGATATAGACATCAGTCATTACTTGAGAAAAAATAAAGAGCAAGTATTGGTGAGTGTACACAGATAAAATGTGCTGTTCTTACTGAAATAATACAAGTCACATCATTTATGGGATCCCTACAACTGCAGTAGAATCAGTACTACTTGACTTACTTGATATTTAAATGATCCCAAAGATGTATGGATATATAAAGTATTTTCCACATTGCCTTCTTGTCGTGCAAGAAAAACAACATCAAATGTTGTATTCCCACCTGGAGGGACTATCTGTAATAGAGAACATAAAAGAATTTTTAATGTGGGTATTAACAGTGTTTAAAATTAGTACTTTTCTCTAATATGATAAAGTCACGAAAGCAGAAAAAATACTGGTTAAGTTTTTCCTGTAAAATTACAGTCAGCAAAATTATAAAATATTTATTACATGTAATGCAGCAAAATGTTGTGAAGTAATTTGGCGTATTTTTTTAATGTATGTAATTATGAGTAATTTCAAAAAATAATTCTTTTGTAATTTCAAACATAATAATACAGAGATTATATTTGTTTACTTGTATAATTACTGTAACACGTGTTGCCATGAACAATTAGTGTTTAACCACATGTTACACGTAGACATGTCAAAATGATACTGGCAGTAAAATTACTCTAAATGTATTATTACTTATAAAGATGTCTGACAGATGGTTATATGTCCCTATATAAACAGTTGTTTAGATATATTATGACTCAGGTTATAGTATTGCAAACAACCATTTACATATGGCCATATAACATGTCTGACATCTTAATAATACAGCAGAATAACATAACTATTTTAGGATAAAAGAAATGAAATCATAAATTGACAGCAGACATGTAAAAAATTTACATTAACATCACAATTATCCAATGAAAAATGATGTTACAAACAAGCAATACCATATTATAAATATGTATATTTACTGTCTAAGAGGTAACTGGCACACCACACATTAAAAATTTGAATCATTAATAAATTGTTTGAAAGAAATCATTATCTAAAATAGAAAAACTAGCAACATTCCCAATGATCAAACTTGCAAATCTGATGTTTGTACAAGGATATAAAGCTCACATTACTGAACTACCTTATCTAATCACAGACAAACTTACAGACACAGATATTAAAGGTTTTATAAATCATTTTGTTACATCTTTTTCTTAACAACATTTTTCTTTTCTTTTCCATGTATCATAAAAAATGTATGTACAAATATTCTTTAACATGTTCTTTAACATGAAACAAACTAAGGAGGGTAGTAAAATATTGACTTACTTTATCTTGGAAAAAGGAGCAATGAAAATGTGCTGTACTCCCTGATATAGAGAGTAAATGTAAATTATTCTTGCTATCTGAATTATGAACTGTAACATGTTCCATTCTCGGCATTCCCACCGGCCTGAAATATACAACATGTTCTATTATAAATATTCATAAAACATTTAACAAAGTGATATTATGGTTACATGATGCACTGTTTATGATATGAACTGCTGACAAAAAATTTGAATATCACAATTAAAATCAAACATATTTTTTATTTCCTTTCAAGAAATGTTGTTTTTCTTTTACACAAGAGCTGCTACTCTTGCTGGCAATGTGCTAGACTACTCTCACTCAGTGCTTTAGTACAGGTAAAAATCTTGTAACAAGCAGTAATTTTGAAATTTTAAAGGTATATATTCATATTTCTATGTGAAAGTGATAACTATCATTTAAAAAGCATGTGTGAAGTTTTATGAGTAACTTGAGTTGCTGTAATTCTTGCACCCAAAACACCAACAGTAACTTTCTAAAGTTGTAAACTTGAAAAATTCAGTCAAAATCCGTGACAAGAGTTATTGGCCCTGGACAAATATATGAAATTTCATGTGAACATCGTCATTAGTTAATGAGATATGAAACATGAAGAATGTTTTCTGATTAGTATTCAAATTTTATACTGGTGTTGTACTTTATGAAATACAACACTGTCTGCCTACACTGTACACAAGTTCTAGATATTACCAAGGACTCCTATGTATTCCAAGAAAATACTATCATTTAACCATATTTATTCAATTTAAAAAAATAAACCTAATTGCATGTTTACATGTCATAATTCAGTCTTAAAATTTCTTTCTTCAGCAATTTCAGAACAAAACATATGCTAACCTATCATAGCCATTGACATGTTTTAATTTATAGACCTAATATAAATCTTTCCCTCTAAAATTTATCAGCATTAATACCACAGTCACATATTACTTCTTGTCATTTTAAATTACAATTGTTCTAAATTTACAGGACTTTATTTGTTATCACCTGCTCTTATTTTGTTCACTTTTTTGTGAGAGTATTTACATCTTGCACGACAGATTTCATACAACAGTAGTGACATTGAATTTCTGTAAGGTATCAATTCAACATTCATTGTAAATCTGCTTAAAATGAAAAGCAGCCCTTTGATTTATTTGGACAGCGAAATATTCGTAGCCATAACAAACTATCACTGAGACAATATTGGAACTATGAATGCGGCATGTAGAATCAGGCAGTGCCACGTCAGTAGACAAAGTTTACCTGTGGCTTTAATGTTTTACAAAATATTGATTATCTTTGAGCACTACTAAAATGAATTGTGAACGTTACAATACATTAACAGGCAGTGTGCTGTTCAGATATGGACTCGATTATTGACAGATAGTATTGACTGTATTTAGAGGAAATTAAATCATGAACAATGGTTTTCATATTCCCAAGCCAGTCAATACATCACGTTAACAATACAAGTGTTTTTCCTTCACTTTAGTTAAATCATGCACACATTTTTCTATTGTAAAGCACTACTAAATACATGACCAGCTAGGCGGAATGAAATGCAGCTAGCCTGCAAGTTTTTTACCACCTGCACATTTTTACACTAATGTGTACAGAATAACAAAAACATTTATATTTTGGTCTTATCTGAATCCTTTTTACTATACAGATAATCCAGCTGACATAACTTAACAAAAAGCAAATTGACTGTAAAACTTTGTGATTTATAAGTTGGGAGATATATGATCTGATAAAAGACAAAATGACTGTTAAAATCTCAATGCCAGTTGGCTTATATTTCTCTTATTATTGTCAAAAAGATACCCTTCATAACAAGCAACACGACCAAATGGTTACCTGTGCACCTGGCTGGACCTAAAGATAATGTTGTGCTTATTTCCTATTGGTTTATACAGAATTTATTTTAGTTTGATTGTGTAGGAAGCAATAAGCTTATAGACACACTTTCGAAGCCGTTCCTGAAGCCAACCAGTACTGAGTAAAGTTTCTTGCTCAAGGAAACGCAGACTTGCCCCTGACGGGGGTTTGAACCCATGCCACTCTTGTGCTTGTCCCATTACATTATGACACAGATAGCAACAAAATAAAAATTGTGTCACAGATACTTATAAACAAAACACTTACTGTTCTTGAAAATCTAACATGGGCGGATCTAACTGTATAGCATTTGGTAGTAAAATTTCATCTTTCCTGAAAATTACAATATGAATAATCAGAACAAATATAATATTCTGTAATTTCAAAACCATACAATAAAAGACCAAGACAGTATCATTATTTTGAATTTATAGGCTTTTTCCAACTTAATATCCCCCCACAAAGCAGTTCATTACCATCCTTCTCTAGGATTAAATGTATTGATAAGAACAGGAAAATAACAATTCTGATTTCTTTCCTCAGACACTGAACTAAAAGCTGAATATTTTTTCAAAAAAGTAAATTGTATAAGTTTTTGTAGTAAATGCAAATGCAGCTTAGATTATTATGATATTGTTTCCCTTTGTAGTAATATGACATACATTTACTTTTCATTTATGAAAGTAAATCTATAAAATTGATGCACTACTAAGAAAAACTCAAATTCATGCTGGATGTCATATCATTAGTGCTAGGTTTAAAATGAGTGAATTTAGTTGCATGCCAATATCTAAATGACAAAGGTAAACATCTTATGTAAAACACATCTTTTTTTTTTTAAGTTTGATATTAGAATTAAAATTGAGAAGTAGTACTAGTATTTATAGGGACAGATCACCATAGTATGCTAGCATTACTGTAAACAGTGACCAGCCGAACATAAATTGATGACATTTACATAACATGGCAGAGAACAAAACCTTTAAAGATGGACACTAAGTAGATAGCCGCATGAAGACAATTACTACATGGACAATTACTCGCGTCACGTTTTTCGTCTCCTAGAAATAATAGACACCTAATTAAGAGATACTCTGTGTGTTCGGTACAGCATCGTTGGGGATTCTTTATGCGTTACTGGAATCTACTTATCTCAGTGTTAACAGACTGCAAGCCGCAATCAATACACATGACAAGCTAGCTTCATTTGATGAGAGTAAATAGGAATAAAACAATTTAATGCCTCCTGTAGAAACATGCTGCAAGCAACCACCACAACAGATCAACTCTATGTAGAGACTCATGAATAAAATATACCTTTTAATCTACATTCATCATGTGTTACAATATGTACAATAAGATTATCATTGAAAACATAGTTATAATCAATATATATATACTAATTCTAACACTGACATCTATATATAAAATAACAAATCAGACAACAAAGTATCTCTTACCACAGAATTACGTGCACAGGGGTTTAAAGCAATCAGATACTCAATTCTCTAAATTTCATTACATTCACACAGTTGCATATTCTTCTGAGACATTAAGAACAAACATAATCATTATGTTTAAAATCAAATACAGAAAGACGTTTCTTTGCTACTAACAATCTATGTTGTGAACAATAAGAACTCAAAGTTAAGAAAGTTAAGTAAGTACACTCTACTGTGATGTTTTTATGCAGATTCTACAAATTCAACTATTTCAATTAGTACAGTCATGTTCATGGAACTAGATAAATGACAGCAATTAAACACCACATTTGAATATTGAAAGTTAGTCCTTTAAGTCTAACTTTTCTACTTTATATGCCTAAAGGCTTACATTATGGTGAAGTCCAGGTACTTAGCAGTACATCAATACTCAATGCTTGTAAAAAAAATTTAATTCAAATAGTTGCAAAAATAAAGAACAAATTCATTTAAGAACAATTACAGAAAATTTGTGGCATCTGCCAATATTTTTGTTTCCCCCTTCACTGCATTTTAAACTAAAATTAATTAATTTTAAACTTCAATAAAAGCATACTACTACTGCTTGGACACATTGACCTCTATGTTATAAAATATACACATATAAATGGTTCATGCCCTTAAAGGCATTTATTCTTATTTCTAAAAAAGCTTTTTATTTTTGGTGTATACTTATTATTATAATTAATAAGTTGCCCCTTGGCCAATTACCAGAACTATTTTTTTTTCATCTGCTGGATTTTCGCAATTTAAGTTCAGTAATAGTGATTTAGTATTTTGTATGGAAATCTTAATACAACTTTGTTTACATTTTGCTACCTTCATGACACATTATCTCAAATCATTAAGTGTTACTTTTTTCAAGTAAAAGGCATATAACATACTCTAAAATCATTATTTAAATGTTATAAAATTCATATTTTTTCTTTGAAGAAGAAATGAAAAATTATTTGTTCATGAGGCATAATGTGCATTCTTCAATTTAGACTACTGTATTTCTGTTTTTAGCTGCACATTTCTGCATTAATATGTTTATATACAATGTACATGACAAAGACAACCACAATGAAGTCAATGCTCTAGCATTCAATAACAAACCCTTGAAACTTGTTTATCTATTTGTGTTATCAGAAACCATTACAATAACCTTGTTTGCACATGAAGAGCTTCAAAAATTGTTTTTCCAATTATTGATATATAAATGTTTTGGATCACTGCTACTCTACAATTTAAATGTTTTTGTGAGGTTTATATCAAGATATATCTTGTTACAGATAGTTACCGCATATACATCATAAAATAACTAGACCAGAACTTGTAAACAAACATTATAGTAATAATATCAAAAATTTGCTGACAGTGTGTTTATTATTTATAGAGAGAGGTTAAATGTTCAAACTTTGCAGGAGTTGCCTTCATTTAATTTGGGAAGGTATTTTGACCCTTGATTATTATTCAACATTTGGATTAGTTTGTCATCTTTTAATTTTTGAATTGCAGCATTGCTGATGCCACTGATGACACTATCATTACTTAGCCTAGTATGATAATTATAAACTTGCCCAGCATTAACTTGATGATACTTTCATAACTTACCCTATACAATGTATAAGCATTATAAACTTGCCCAGCATTAACTGATGACACTATTATAACATACCCTACATAATCATTATAAACTTGCCCTGCTTTATCTTGATGATACAATTATAACTCAACCTATATAATCATTATAAGCTTGCCCTGCTTCAACTTGATGATAATATCATAACTTACCCTATATAATCATTATAAACTTGCCCAGCATTAACTGATGATACTATTATAACATACCCTAAATAATCATTATAAACTTGTCCTGCTTTATCTATAACTCAACCTATATAATCATTATAAGCTTGCCCTGCTTCAACTTGATGATAATACATGTATTATAACTTACCCTATATAATCATTATAAACTTGCCCAGCATTAATGTGATGATACTATTATAACTTACCCTTTATCATCATTATAAACTTGCCCAGCATTAACTATTGATACTATCATAACAACCTATATAATCATTATAAGCTTGCCCTGCTTCAACTTGATGATAATATTATAACTTACCCTATATAATCATTATAAACTTGCCCAGCATTAAATGATACTATTATAACTAACCCTTTATCATCATTATAAACTTGCCCAGCATTAACTATTGATACTATCATAACAACCTATATAATTATTATAAGCTTGCCCTGCTTCAACTTGATGATAATATTATATCTTACCCTATATAATCATTATAAACTTGCCCAGCTTTAACCTGAAAATAGAAATAAATCTGTTTATAGATCATACATTTTTTAAAATCATAAAATGATGTATATACAATGTGCCATCAACATACCGGTAATTATAATAATGGATTGTTTATTAGTTTCATTTAATGTATACACTTAACCATCAACATCACAAATTGCTGTTTATACTTATATATGTGAGATATAGTCACATTATACCATCTTAAATGTTCTGATAAGGAGATACTATGTTAAAATGATCATATTGTCAAGTGTTGATGATCTCTATTAAAGTGATATGGTTCAGGAAGTTAACACAAACACTTTGATTCATTTTATTAGTTGTTTAAAAGAAAACAGTGACCTTGCTTTAAAATATTTCTTCCTCGCAATTAACAGGCTCCAAGTTTTAGGGTCCTACATGGGTCAGGACCATGTTCATCAATATGAAAATAGTACTTCAGTTCTTGATTACAAAAAATTGGTCAACAATGTGACAAATACAAGTTACAGAATCTTGTTTCAAACTTTCAATCAATTTAAAATAGATGATTATGTTTTAACTTTAATCTATACTTAACAATTGTGTATTACCCAAACAACAACCTGGACACCAGAAAAACAAACTTTACATGAGCTATAACAGTTGTGCTATGTGAAAGCAAACTATCTGTAGCTAGCTCATCCTAAATTAAATAACACTTAAATGACATTCTCACAACTCCCACACATTATGACAATCAGCTATGTACTGCAATATGTTCCATCTTTTACCTCACTTTTGTGCTACTTACTTCCTTAAACATTCTTGAATTCAATAAAATTTGGTAAAATGTTTCCATGGTAAATTTGAATCATAGGTCATTTGGCAATGTTCCAGCTTTACTGGTGGAGGAAGACCTCAGGTGCCCTTCTTTGCATTATTTCAGGCATGAACGGGAACCTGAGAAGAACCACCGTTGAATCTCAGTATTTAAGCACCAAATAATGTATAAGCAATAATTGTGCACTAACAAGTTTTGTTACACTCCCTGTTTACCTAAAACTGTATCTTTTAAATTAATTTGACATCATGTTAAGACATAGACTAACTGAGGAACTCTGTAAACTGATTCAGTAGGCCCTGAATAGAACAGTCATAAGTAGGCCCTGAATAGAACAGTCATAAGTAGGCCCTGAATAGAACAGTCATAAGTAGGCCCTGAATAGAACAGTCATAAGTAGGCCCTGAATAGAACAGTCATAAATAGACCCTAAATAGAACAGTGATAAGTGGGGCCTAAATAGAAAAGTGGGCCCAGAATAGACTTTACTGCCCTTGATAGCTTCCTGACAGACTGACTGTTATATACTACAAATAACTTAATATAAACACGACTTCAATTTGTAAACAGGAAAATTTTACATGCTTCAATGCCAGTGATACTTAAATAATTCTAAACAGATAGGAAACATCTACTTATGCATTGTTGAATCATTTTAGAATGAAACAGATAACAATCGCATGTCTCCTCAAGATAATCAACAAGCCCAGTAAAACCTGGATCAAAATCTCAGAAAATATTCAATTTGTAAATTACTAACAGTTTGACAATTATGCAACTCTCTGGTGTAACTTGACATTTTAATGAAATTACTGAATATTTTATAACTAGAAACACACCATTAGTGATTCTAGCTAGGAGCTAAATGGTTTACCAACATAAATAATTTAATATTTCTTTCTTTACATTTTTACACCCTTAATTTGAGTAATGGGCTTGCCATTAGCTTTAATTTTAGAACTTACCCTTAACTAGTCTCACTTAACTACCCTTGTTTTGTAAGAGGCCAACACTACAGCCTAGTCACACTAAACCGCCCTTGATTTGTAAGGAGGTCTCACTATCTGGAGCCAACATTACAGTCTGGTCACACTTAACTACACTTGATATGTATGGAGATTTCCCTATCTGGAGCCAACACTACAACTTAGTATCCTAGTCACTCATAACTACCCTTTATTTGTAATATCTGACTTCCTGAAGCCAACACAACTTTGTAACACTAAACAGTAACCCTTGATTTGTAAGGAGATATCAATATCTGGAGCCAACACTAAAGCCTAGTCACACTTAATTGCCCTTGATTTGTAAGCAGAGCTGACTATCTGAATCCAACACAACAGTCTAGTCACACTTAACTGCCCTTGATTTGTAACGAGATCTGACTTTCTGGAGACAACACTACAGCCTTGTCACACTAAACTATCCTTGATTTGTAAGGTCTCATTATCTGAAACCAATTACAACAGCCTTGTCACACTTGATTTGTATGGAGGTCTCATTGTCTGAAACCAACACAACAGCCTTGTCACACTTAACTGCCCTTGATTTGTAAGGAGATCTCACTATCTGAAACCAACACAACAGCCTTGTCACACTCAACTACCCTTGATTTGTAAAAAAGATCGGACTATCTGAAGCCAATTAGACTACAAACATTTTTGACAAGACTTTTCTATACAAGGCCTTTTTCTAATAAAACTTTAGATTATAATGAACTTAAATATGAATATGTGATATAATCAGACATACACAAAATAATTCCTATCCTACTCACTGTCTCTTTTAATTGCCACAGATTCTTCTTTAAGCCCCAGTCACATGTTCACGGATAATGCCACGGAAGAGCTATGGTCTAATCGTTCACGGATTACTTCGGAAATGTGAAATTTCGTAGTCCGCTACGGTTCCAGTATGGACACACAACCGTATGAGTACGGAGTCAGCGGTTTTAAAACCCAAAAACCCCCGGAGGACACGGATTGTTACGGACCCCCGTTTGATACGGACCGCACGTCAGGGGCCCCACAGGAACATAGGGTTTTGCTCCGGTTTAAACCCGGGTCTACAAAATAAGTGGGTTGATACGGGAAAAACAAATTGTCAGAGGGAACAAATCCCACGGAACCGTAAAAATATTGTTCTCCGTCCCAAACTGGAAATCCGTACAGTTGGACTCGAACATACGGATAGTCGGTTTTGTCGGCCCCGTATGTTGTGGGTTTAAAAAGGACTAGCAGGGATACCTCGGTGATTTTTCGTAGCAAATTTTGTGCATGTTCAAATGTAAGGATCCTACGGAAATATACAAGGCTACTACGATTGATTACGGTTAAACCAAATTTGGAAAGAGTACTGCCATCGTAGCTACAACCCCGGATGCCGGAATTAATCCATGGCTCTTCCGTGGGCGTATTCCGTGAATATGTGACCGGGATATTAGCTTCAAATTTATAGATATGTTGATTAATATATACTAACTGTATCAAAAATCTTGGTAAAAACCAGAAAACAAACAAACCAGTTGTATGACATAATATCACATATACATCAAAACATAACAACATGGAATATTGTAACTATATGACGCCATCAATAAATTTGTTGCTTGAATTTACTGACTGATCACTAGACTTTAATTTTATTTTGGTAGAATAACTCCAATTTTTAACAATGAAATTAAACATTCAAAGATAATTTGAGCCGTGTCATGACAAAACCATCATAATGGGTTTGCAACCAGCATGGATCCAGACCAGCCTGCGCATCCGCACAGTCTGATCAGGATCCATGCTGTTCCCTTACCAACCCTATTACAAGTAGAGAAACTGATAGCGAACAGTATGGATCCTGATCAGACTGCGCGGATGCTCAGGCTGGTCTGGATCCATGCTAGTTGCAAACGCACTATGTTGGTTCTGTCATGACACGGCTCATTTGATGTCCATCTTGCAAACCTTTTAATACTAAACTAATCTACATCTGACATTAATTTTCCAATGAGAAATACCATTTACACTTGAATTATGTTATTGCATCATTATATATAAATCACAATAATGCAGTTTCTACAGCTACATTGTATAGGTGTTATGGTCGCGAAATATGATGTTCCAGACAATGCAATAGTAATATGAACTTGTAATATGAACTTGTGTGATTGATCAAAGCCCTATTGTCAGAAAAAAAATTACAGTAACAATGAATAAAAAATGTAATGTACTCTCTGAACAGGTGAATGACTGCAGATAATGTTACAAATTGTTCTTTAAACATTCAATAACTGGGAATGTAAAAACAGAAATATTCTTTCTTTGTTGAAATTTCAGGAATCAATAAAATATCTAAATTAAACAATAGAACTTTCATTTTTAATGTTCAGAACAAATGAGCAGAATAAATATTTGTCAGTATCTAAAGTGAAGGACAAATTGTTTTTGTCTTTTTCTTTCTTTTTTTCGATACCTAAAATCATCTGCAGTTGCAAGTCTGCACAACATATCAAATCTAAATATTTAATTTGAATACCGTTAAATCTAGCTTCAACAAATAGATATCAACTTTCAACAAGCCTTTATCTATGTACATCATGTTCTAGCCATTATCTTATACACTTAAAGTACCAGGGAAAGTAAAATAAAATTTTTCTTCAGCTTAT